GAAATTACTTTTAGAAATAAAGCCGCCCAATGTACCCGTCACTTCTACATTAAGTTTTTGATTTTTGTTTATTTTATTTTTGGTGTTAATAAAGTTGGTGTGTAAAAATATTCATTCATTCATTCATAGATCGTCTACGTCTTCCACAAAAAATACAATACAAATAGTCTCTCTTACAGCACTTTAGAGCTTTAATAAATTAACAAGACGACGAAAAATATACAGAATCAATTTGAACCCCAAAAATAATTGTGTCACACCTACATGGACTTCAATATCATTAGTCCTTAACAGCAATAATAGGTTTTCACAACTATTTACAAACAATTGACCAATTTTCCGTGTTAATATTTTTTTAAAGTACAACAAAAACAAGATGTCACGACTAGGTAAACAAACAACATAATATGTTGCCTACTTTTTGTCAAAGTCACACGCGTTATTGCTCATTGCGTTTGGCAAGACAAAGTAAATTACTTATCACAAACTTATTCATTACTAGCTTTTCGCCCGTAACTCCGCCTACATGTACTACATATCGTGCTTAAAAAGTACCTACGGAATCCTTTGTGCGCGAGTACGAATCGCACTTGGCCGATTTTTTAACTTTACGTAAACTTACAATTTTACAGGCCATAATAATATATCGTTAACTATAGTTTCATTCAATTCCACTTTAGCTATTGCATAGCATTTTAACGCACAAATAGCCAATGTGGTTCTTTAAGTTGATATAACTTTTTTATTTATGAACTGATTGAAATAAAACTAACACTAAATGATGCTTACTACAATGCATTAGACAAAAAATTTAACAATCATTGTTTTGGATTCTACTGCGTTATTAAAGGCCCCAATAATAGTTTTCGTCAAATATCTTCCATGTAAAGACAACGATCAGTTACGTTTTTATTATATGTATTGATTATATAAGACACGCACTGCTCAATTTTTTTTGTAAGACAACTTGGAGTAAATTACTTATCACAGTTCATTGTTATGTAAGATTCGCACTATGTTATTGTGGTGGACATACTAAATGTGAAAACGGATAAAGCGAATTGCTTGTTCATGACTGGTCAGTAATTTTATTAGAATCGTTCGCCACATTCGGATCGCGGTGTCGTTACTTCCCCGTATTACCCAGGGCCTATGTTACGACACGGTCGGGAGATAAGTCGACTTTAAAAACGCCCGCACATTAATTACACTTCGGCGGGTTCAACGAACCGCGGGCGTCATACAGTCTGTGGATATGGCAGCGAAACAAGTACGCTCGTCGGCACTAATAATAAACGTAGTTTTTTGCGTGTGACAAAAAAGCGAGGCACAATTATACACCGACGCGACTCGCCTATGTTCGGAGGTTGATGAACTTTGGCACACCCCATGGAGTTGGGCGTTCCGGGAGTCAAACAGAGCCGCTGACTTAGACCAATTGTTCGTATACCGTACGAGTATCCTGTGAATGAAGTCAGCGTTTCATTGTGATGGCTAAGGTCATTGTATTTCTTTGAACGACATACTCAAATCGCTTCTGGCGAAATTACGTCACCTATACGATACCCATTCTTTCCAGACACTTGTATTATTACTACATAGTATAAAACAAAGTCGTCCCGCTGTATGTCTGTCCGTATGTATGCTTAGATCTTTAAAACTACGCAATGAATCTTGATGCGGCTTTTTTCACTAGATAGAGTAATTGAAGAGGAATATTTATACAGGGAGATTTTTTTGAGAAGTGCCCAAATTTACACAGGAGGTTCAGACTCGGTAGTATAATCATTTATTGAAATTAAAAAAAAAAAAGTTTTTTTTACAAAATTATGCCAGTCTATTTCCTAAAAAAACAGAACGTGTTGACAATGCGATAGTCATTCATAAATACCTAAATTTTACTGTGCACGAACTTGTGTGCGTGTTAGTTATAAATTATCGTGCGTAAAATAAATGAGTTGCGTATAAATCACGCATTCTTTTGAGATAAGTTCAAATGAATGTAATCAAGTACTAATTAGTGATTTTAAATATTTATCATTTTTTATATAACATTAATTATGTCTAGAATTTAATAAAAAAAATGGGTATACTTAGAAAAGCCACCCTGTATGTATAATACATTGCACCCGTGATGTGTCACTCATATCCCCTTAGATTTTAATACCACTTATTATTAAATTATAGAGCAAATGTTTCATAGCGTTTCTTTAAAAATACTGGTTTCAAAAATATTTAACATCGGCTACTTTTTCGTTACAAGTCATTTGAATAATTTCATCTGATAATTCGTCTCGTGTTTCATAATCATACTCGAGTGTATGACCGTTATGTGATAATTATTATGTTACTGTATTAATTAAGATTGTAATATCATTATTAAATACCGTAACGAAACTATGCCAACTAACAAAAACAGCACCTTAAAAAATCTTTTACATGCCCGGAAGGTTTTGTAGAAAACTACTTTTTGCATCATAAAAAAATATTTTTACTAAAAAAATCAAAAAAGATAAAAGTAGTTCAACCACAAACCTATACAAATGAAACATACATCAACTGTAAACAAAATACAGTCGTCAACCTTTTGTTCTACTTATTACATCCGCCACTAAAATAATTAGTTTACTTCAAACGAAATGCCGAAAAGTGTTTTAAATTGGCTTGAGCGCATGGCAATTTTAAAATTAACGCCAACAATATTTTTACTCGATGCTTTGTTAACAAACCAGCCCGCTCGTGTTCAAGTTATTAATAAAATTAAAAAAAAATGTTACACGTGCTTAAATTATCAAACGAATGACCAATAAATACAATTCCAATTACTGGTATAAAAGGTGAAGGTCCAATTCTACAAAAATTAATTAAGATTATTTAATTATAATTTAGCACATTAAAATACAATTTAACATAATATAAATTATTTTTAAATCTTAAAATTATAATATTCTGTAATATGTGTATAATTAATAATATTCTGATAACCTAAGTAGCGTGTTTGTATGTATTTACAAATTTACGCGACACGTTTTTACGCAGAATTATTCTTAAGTTACACGACAACTTATGAATGAGGGGCACTCAATGTCAAACGATAAAAAAGCTTTGGCAGCACATGTGGACGGTATGAGGTCATGATATGTTTTCAATAGAACAATTGTTGCAATAAAGGGCGCCAATTTTAACGGATATCCGATGAAACAAGATCTGTTCGATATCAAATAATATGTAAGATCTCGAGCAACCTGAGTTCATTACAATTTTAAGTGCTAACTTATCACGTGCTCAGCAGTGAATGAACACGTAGTGAAGAAATGTGCATCTTTTCGAAATGATAACCAAAAAATAGATATTTTATATGTTCTATACAGAGGAGGGCCAACTGTGAGACATATATAGGCTGTGACTTTAAACTATTATGAATATGCTCTGCACCAAAACTAAACGAAGTAAAAAACATTTATATCTGCAAGAATTTACTTTCCAAATTCCATTCGTTTCAAATTCGAAGTAGATTTAAAAAAGGAAAATTTTATGAACATTGTTTCCGATACAACTCTGGTACTAATGTTATTTAATCTGAAGGTTTTATCGCGTTTATTTTTAATTTAAGTCTGTCCCGTGACCATGAACGCTGTAAAGGGTTCGAAACGTCGGGAACTTAAATTAAAAATAAACGCGATAAATCCGTAAAATTAGTTTCATTTATAATGTGTAATCGCGTAAATACAAGAAATTATTATAATCTGAAGGTTGTTGAAATCGCAAAACTGTGAGCATGTGTTAACGGGGTCACTTTGACTAGAATGCCGCCATAGTTCCTCAATGCATAGTTTGACCTCAGAATAAAATGCGCTCGCTTTAAATGCATTGGAGACACCGCACTAGTGCGATCGCTAGTGATGTGCCAGATTGCGCTAATCTCTGGTGTACATTGTATTTACATATATGTTTGTGTATAATTCTAAGTGTGTGTGCATTTATATAAATTAAAAAAAAGACGTTATTAATTAAAATCATTTTACGGATTTTATAGCTTAACTTTGTTTTAACTTATGAAAATCGCAAAACTATACTGATTTCGTCTGTTTTAAATGTTTCATTTAAAAAAAAACAGTGAGCCAATTTTCAATGATATATGTATATAACCTTATTTTACTTTTTACTTACCAATATTCTAAATGTTTTATTACAGCCATATTAACGCATTGCACAAAAATGCCATACCTTCCATTTTTTGCATTAGATTTTCTACTTTGAATTACTGTAGTAAGAACTCAATTGAACGAGTACACAAAATTAATCGAGTGTTTTGATACAACCAAATGATCTACCCGGTCGTCTCTTTCATCTCTATTAAAGAAGAAAGAAAACTAAATGACATCACTTGCGGCAATGAACAAAGGTTTTTCGCGACAATTTCACGCGCCACGTCGTCGGTAAATCCATTTTATCGACTTTTCCGGCTACAGAGTTCTATTTCCGGTGCGAGGTTGAACTTAAACTGGGTTTACGAGGATAGACTTTTTTATTATCCACTTTAAATGAAACGGAAAAGGAGTGGACTGTGCAAGGACATACGCTGTTATTAAAAAGCTCTAAATATAACCCAATCATTAGCTTTGTTGTATCGCTTAATATCCCGTCCACGGCTAAGAATAGAACTTGTAAACGCTTTTTGTTACTGCTAGCTTATTACGCCGTCGGTGGCTACTTACGGATAATTTTTAAAATTGTTTGAATGAATTTCTTACAGCAAGTGGTCAATAAATAGAGTAATAGTTAAAAAAAACTCAAATTATCTAACTAGAAGTCGATTCTAAACTCAGCCACTCAGCGTGGCAACTAATATCCAAACAGATGAAAATATATAAGTAAGAGAGTTCACGTAGCATACATGAAGCCTCTATGTTGTTAGGAATTATAGACAGACTCTTACGTATTTTCAAATTACAATTAATGGGCAAATAACAAAAAAAGCCCGTGTAATTTATCCAACAATGTGGATCGTGTTTCAGCGGTCTAAGGCACCGAAAAACGTGGTCACCATTCGAATGAGACCAAATGAGCATCCATTAACATCTCAATTAACCCTCGCGCTGGTCATTACTGACGGGTGGGCATTCAATGTGCAAAGACTGGAAAATACCCAAATTCAAATGTCTTTATTCAATAAGAAGCGTTACACTTACATATTGGTTGTCAAATTTTACAAAAATATTACTACCGTTTCGGAAGAAAAGCCATTGTCCTGAGAAGAACCGGCGAATGAAACTAAGACAGGACAATTTTTATCCATTATTTGACAAAAAACACGTTTACAAATATTGTATCAATATATATTGATATCCACTTGACAGAACCTGGAGCGATCAAATCATTTCCAAAGCATGTTATCATTTAAATAATCACATAATCACTAATATTATATTATATAATAATATAACTAATATTAAATAAAACTAATATAATAATAGAACTAATATTATAATAATATAACCTGTAACACACAAACGAGCCCTTAACTTTTTTTGAATTCAGCAACTGTTTTACTTTGAAAGTTTTCTGGAGTATTGTTGTAAAAACGTATAAATTGTCGAGTAAAAGATTTACTTGTTCTACGCAGTCTAGTTGTGCCGATGCCGAAGTCAGGGTCGACGGCTGGACACACCTGTGCCGATGTCCTATCGATTATTATTAATTGCTAGTGGCTTTTCCGCGGCTGCACTCGAATTTATATTTCATTAATCATCGTCTTGTTTAGAATCAAAGAGAGAAGTGAGATCTAGTGCTATAATCGTACATTTTGGGGTACATAGTGCACCATGTTCCTCTTTGGACAATGGATTATCAAATATACAAAAGATTTCCGATCCTTTGTTCCGATGCTGCATGTTACAATGACAAACAAACACACTTTCATCTATTTATACTGTAAGCAGCGATTCTATACAGCGACAAACTTACCGCACAGCGTTTTGAAATGCTTTGTGATAAAAACATATTTACCTGAAAAATAAAGAAGTTTATTTTTAAAAAATTAATTAATACCATATAAACTATATAAGTAAGGTCAGGAGATTCCGAAGAGATTGTGGATGCTGGACCCACAACATGCACATTAGGACAAGCACAAAATTAATTAATTTTGTTATCAAAACAATGTCAGACTAAAAAACTTGTATTGAAATAAAATTATACAATCTCTATTTCTTAGAAAAGTTTATTTAAAACTTAAAAATTAACTGTATCATCGACAATTTTACATATGGCTAAAGATAAAAGAAGATAAAGGTGCGGTAAACCATAATGGCCTAAGTAAATTAACTTAGTCGCACAGCGAGATTAAGACATCTACAAGTATTCCGTTTTGAAATAAAGTCGAATTTCGTGTGAGCAAAGACAACTCAAAACTCTACAAGTTCTGATGGCACTTATCAATTCATAACGAAACAATGGACATTCATAATACCGAACAAACCGATAGCAAGATAGCTATCGGAGGCGAAGCCGCAGATTCGTCGATCGACGAAGAACGACCGATAAGGAATATTTTACTGAATGAAAACCGAAAATACGAAGAAGGGCATAATCTTACGCAACAATGCTTTGCAATCAATGTATCGATTGTTTAGCGTTAAGGAATCTTATCAACATTAATATTTAATGTAAAATCATCAAGTTGTACAATTTCTTTTTACTTTATTTAATACTAACGAACCCACACGAACGGCTGACACTAGTAGAACAGACTATCCGAAAAAAAAACTGTATGTCAAATCGCTACCGAACTTCAGAGGATGACCCACTGGGCTAATCCGAAGATAGATAGATATGCATATACGATGTATATGCATATAGATAAAAATAATTTAATACGTTTAATCTATGTATAATTTCCCTATGTTTCGTATATATTTCATCAACCACAGGGGTAGAGCAATATTTGACATCCTAATATCATAGATAACTTTAACGATTACATCATCATCATCATAATTTCAGCCTGTTTGAGTCCACTGCTGAACATTTGCCTCCCCCACAGGCTGCCACGAATCACGATCCTGAACCACCTGCATCCATCGACTTCCCGTACATTTGCACTCAGGAAGAAGCAAGAGGAACTGCGCTTGCCAACCCGCTTGCCAGGCGTGGCAACTATGGCAAAACCCCCCGTCATGATGGAAGCCCAAACGATCTAAATCATCATATCTAGTCTATTGTAATGTATCGATTTATTACTTAAATAATTTAAAAAAAAATTGTCTTCCGTGAAGAAACATGTTATCGTCGACAAAACAGCCTTTGTACGTATTCCTACCGGTGTGACACGTTTAGGCGTTACGTTGGTTAATGAATCACTCGCAAATAATAGTAAAAACTACACACCGAACTAAACCTGACAGTTTTTTATTTAAAAAAAAATAAACTACTGTTTATACATTCGAAATTAATCATCTGTCAGAACTATAAAGACATAACATTACTTCAAACATGTTTGTCGAAGGTTAAGAAGCGGATAACGTGATTAACCGGGTAGTAACATACAGTTAAGATTTAATAAATATTTACAGTTTTTTATTTAAACCCTTCGTGTTTCTGTGTAATTCTGTAGAGGCCTAAATTCGTCAGTGGAGTTATTTAATAATAAGCATAGACAACCCCTCGCTATTTCAATTCAAGAATAGGTCATACTAAATTAATAATCGTACACATCACTACACCTTAAGTTCCGCTAGTGGAAAAGTATCCAATTATTGTCAAAACCATAAAACCCCAGTGAAAATACCATTAGGAAAGGTTAAGGTTATAAGTAGGTATTATAAATTCTGAGTATGATCGTATTAATAATGGACATGATATAGATGATATAGATGTAATTATTGGTTTCCCTATACATCAGATGATACTACAATAAAAAAAATGAAATATACATATTACACAAATGTATATACGTTCCCTGTCTCGCTTCTAATTTAACAGCTGGAAATTATTGTTTTGATTTCCTGTATCAGAAACCATTTTTGCGTTCTTGGCAACTTTCCCATTGCGGTGTGCGCAGTTTAAATAAAAGCAATTAGCGACTACATGGCTGATGGGCATTGTGATGGCTTATATGGGGGGGCAGGTTTAAACTTTACTCTATCTCCTAAAATGTACACAGGGTAATGGGGGATTCCCACCACTTTGATGGAAGGGGCTTCATATCAATCATTCAATATTCTTCAGAACCCACAGGTAGAGATATTAATGGTCTAATAGTTGACTATTTACGCCAGAATATCACTATTAAGATGGCGAGTTAGAATCACAGTTAGATTTTGTAAGTTTCTTAAAGCAGCGCTTCAGCGCGCTGTCACTTTGGTACTGACAAAAAAACATTTGTGTGTTTGCTTTTGCATGAATAGGTCGTTCCGTCCGGGGAATTATCACTACCGACAGTAGACCGGCACTAGAATCTACTTCATGCCGGTATACTGTGTGACTGTGTTCCTCCTGCTTCGTCTGGTAAGTAAGATAGCCAGGGCACACTTTATTATAAAGTGGCAACTCGTCTGCAACCCTATGAATGTTGCAAAACTCCATGAGCGGCGGCTATAACAACACGTGAACCAGCTCGCTTGCCACCATCTCACATTAAAACTCATGGTGTACATTTCATGGCGTTGTGCGCGCGCGTATTAATTTCACTCTTCTCATTCTTACCCTAACGAGCAAAAATATGTATGACTTCAATAAGCTTGGAGAAAGAACATCCTTCATTTTCGACCCTGCTATCGTTAACAGTCGTGACCTCGCGGGTCTGGTTGGTTCCTCATCTGAACCATTTTTTTTTGTAAAAACGCCTGTATTCGCCTGTTATTATTTATAGTTATACAGATTCAGAAAGGGAGGATAGTGTAGACGTGAAGGAGACATCGAGGCGGCCTTTAAATAAATTTGTCGTAAATACATGAAGATTAAACAATGCAATGCTATTGTTAACAGACATACATACTAAGACCACGAGTGTAACAGAAATTAATTATCTTAACAACACGTCAGGGTTTGATCCAAAAAAAGGAACATTTACAAAAATTTACAACATCGTACAATTGTGTACATTGGCAGAATCACGTTTACGAAACGACAGTAATAACAAAATGGCGAACATTTTATCTCATTATTCAGATAGAGCGATTTAAAAAAAAACGTTTGCATATAATGACGTTATACAGCTATACTAGAAAATAGAATTTACTAGAAACAGAATTAGAAAACGTAGGTACCTAAAACGGTTTGCAGGTAGCTCGCTCGGAGGAAGATGTATCGAATCCCAGTGTTCGAATCGCTGCTTTTCGAAGTTTGTGAATAAATAAATGTCACCCTGTAGACATTTGTATACGACAGAGTCACCAACAGTTACTTTGATTCTTTCTCATACAGTCCATACAACAGTTACTTTCATGTTTATAACTGGGAGGGGGACCTGATGGCCTGAAATACAGGCTTTGCTTAGATAAGGCATCAGTCTCCCACATTGCTTTGAACTTTAAATTTAGTTGTATATGATAAATTGTACAAACCGATGAGATCAGAAATAAAGTTTATTATTATTATTTTCTTGTATTTATGCGAACACTACTTTGAAACAAAACTATCAAAAAACCATGAACGCTATAAATGTTTAAAACATCGTATCATCAGAATCATCATCGTCAGCCCGTATCAGCCCACTGCTGGGCATAGGCCTCCTCCCTCTTGCGCAATTCATCCCTGTCTTAAGCGGATCGCATCCATGTCGTATATTAAGAGCAAATTAAACGCACTACTTATAATACGTAAGATAATTTTATTTACCATGTGTTACATTGACAAAAAAATGCTGATATAGCGGGCATTAAGTAACGCCGTCCAGACAGCAGGACGAAGTTTCTCTTTAAAAGATTAAGATAAACTCTTTCAATAAGTTGCAAGCGGTGTTGTTAGCTTTATTTCGAGATTTCCTTGAAATTCGATAGGCGAGGTCCGCACTGATCGCTCAATCACAACAGACTTAGCAACAGTGCTCCGTTGCAGATCATAAGGTCGCAAAACAGATAACGTTTAGCAACACTATCGAATCAAGAAAGAATTTAATTGCTTTTATATAAGCTAGCACCTCTACCATATCGGTCTTTATTATTTTTCCATGCAGATGGCAACTAAGCATTTACCGCTGGTGATTGTCGCTGAACATTTATAACCTAGATATTGCAGACGCGATGGAAAACACTAAGAATTCGGCCGTTTATCGTGATTATTTCCCGGTATTCCCCGGATTATTCATCGAGATCTAATAACCTATTATTTCTCTTCCTCAGTAAATACAACTATTTTGACCATCATACAGTTGACAGAGATAGGGCAATACCATTCGCGTCAAGCCGATATTATTTACTTCAGCCTTGACGCCGTACGCCGGAGACAAATGTGAGATTTTACACACAAGTAACCCGTTCTAGCCTCATTGATAGACGCCGTTTGGAATAACAGCCACTACCTTTATTTTGTATTTACTATATGACAAACAGAATAACTAGCACTCCATATTACAAAGTGCCGAGTCGAACTTCAACAGAATTTTAAAAATAGAAGAATGATAGTAATGTTTTTCTGGTCTAATGGATTTCTTTTGTGTGGTATATTTTTTGCAGCCCCGGTTCCCGATATACTTGGTATCCCTTTTCTGGGGCGTTAGTCTATTTAAAGTTTCATAAATTGCACCTATCCTTGAAAATACTAGTTATAATTATAAATATCAACTAATAATAATTACAACTACATCATTTAAGTCATAAATAATGCATTCAATTGATAGGGTGCAAATTTATACTCAGAAATATTTTGAGGCGTTTAATGACAAAATTTAAGCACAATTTAAGTGCTTTCAACAATTAGCATACATGCATACATGAACTGTCTTGTACTATTTGAAACAATATCAGCATATGAATACATGCACATTTATACTCCCCGCACATTTTAGAGTACGATTTGTACATTATATTTGTAGGCAACAAGAATGAAGCAATCGAAAAAGCATTCTAATGTGCTCGCCTTGACTACATTGCTTGTGTGAAATGAGGATTGGAAGGCTTAGACAAGTATAGTGTCAACAACACCAGACAAGGACGGAATTTAATAAACCGGCCAAGTGAGAGTCGGGCTCGCACACGAAGGGTTCCGTACCATCTATAAAAACGCCATCTGTTGTATGGCAGCCCCGCTTAAATATTTAGTATTCTTTTTTTGTATTTTTTGATATAGTGGCAACAGAAATACATTATCTGTGTAAATTTCAATAGTCTCACTATCACGATTCATGAGATACAGCCTGACAGACGGACAGACTGTCTGTCTGTCTGACAGCGGAGTCTTAGTAATGGGGTCCCGTATTATACTATATCGTAGTACAGAACCCTAAAAACTGCAAATGCAACAGTAGCTGATAATAAATAAAATTGTGAAAATTTTTTACAACCCCAACAATTTTGATCTAAGAAATATTCCACGAGACAGGGAGATAGGGAGCCAAGACACGAAGTTGCTATTATACTAGTTCTATTACACGTTCAAAATAGTTTTAATTTAGCAAACATTTAGAGTTGTCCATTCTCAGTTAAAAAATATTTGACTACGTCAAGATGTGATTACAATTATTGTACGAATTTTTTTTGTGTGGTTCAATAAAGTACACATGATTAAAACCAATTGAAATCATCGATAGAATATAACTTCTTAAAAAGGTCAAGACAAAATCTCCAATGAAAAGATATCCATATACATTCCACGCCGAGTGTTTGGTAACAGCTAGAATATTGGAAAATCGTTGAGCAATTCCAATTAATGGAGCAGGCAAGCAACACTGTATTATGGCAACATGTCCAGTTACAAACAATCTATCACGACGACAATCTAATGGAATTTGTGTAGATAGAACATCGACATAATTGAATTGGCTAACGTTCGTTCATGTTCACAATAGACAGTTTAACGCCCACATTAGCAAAAAGTAAACTTATACTAATCCTAATATAAAAAAGGATGTGTGTACTTATGTACACGCGTAGGAAGTTACACTTCTTTAGCCTAACAAAAGAGAAATGAATAAAAATTTTACCCCCTGTGCCAGTACTATTTTTTGTGAAAAAGACATATGCATTTAATAACGGTTATA